AACTCTGACTGAGTCTGACATGTTGGTTCACGCTCGGGATGAAAAAAAAAAGAAAAAAACAAAAGCTGGAAAATACCGCTGCTCAGTGCATCTGCCCCGGTTTGTATGTTCTAAGCCCGCCCTGCTGTCAGGATGAATGGTGGGTTTTCACAGAGTCCGATGATGGAGGATCCCATTGTGAGGAACAGCACACTGGCCGTGTCTGCTGTGTGATGTTTCACCTCAGGCGAGAGGAATCAAAGCACCACCTGCGGACCACTGGAGACACTCCTGCACAACAAACGCGACTCTCAAATATCCTCGCTCGAAATGTCAGAGACTGTCCTGCAGCAAACGCCTGCTGTACCTGTCTGCACTGTTAACCGTGCACCAGACAGTGATTCAGGCCTCTGTTTGTTTAATGTTTTCACACTTTTCCATCTGAGCGGGCACACAAGTTGAACCGCTAGGTTTCTCCGAGGCAGGTAGCCATTAACTCAACAAGAGCTCGATATTATCCTTTGAGTCATGCTGCTCTTTCTGTACCATACGGAGGACTCGGGCAACCCTATAATCTAGAAGGTGACTGAGAAGGGTCATTGTTAAAGAAATTAGCAGCTTGACTAAATGACTGTTTTCCCTTCAAATGCCAAGAGGTGAGTGTGAAGAATGGGCCTGAAGACTGGCAGTGGCTAAAACATGAAATCATGAGCAGGGCTTCAGTTCAGCAGGGGAGAAGAAAGAATGTCAGACATGGCGGCTGGAGTAAAACGCACAGCCGTCTCACACTTATGGCAGGAAACTTCAATATTGGAATATTGAAGTTTCCTGCCATAAGTGTGCAAGATCAGCTGTTTATTTTCCTTTACACTGTGACTCTACATTCTTATTTTCTCCAGATATCATTTAGTCCAACTCGTGGACCTAACAACCTCCTTAACACTCGTATTATCAATGACACCCACAGCCTGGCTGATGAAGCAAATATGGCAGACTAGTCAACTAACCTTTATACTCAGATATGATTTTGCTAGTGACATACAGTGAGTCTGCTGTAACTTATCTACACTGCACAAATCTGGTGATGGTTGGTTAGTAACATTAAACTCATAAAGTAATGTGAAAATGGACAGCCAAGATGCCAGATCAGCCCTGGGTGTTTGGATAAAACAGCTAGCTTTGTCCACTCAAGACAGTATTTTTGCATGTGAGCAAGCACACTAGCTTTAGCTAACATTAGTCTGAAAAACAACAGCACTGAGTCGGTTCTGAGCCGGGAGAGAAAAAAATTCTATATGAATGAAACACACTGCTGATGTTGCTGTTGGTTTAGCCGGGTTTAGCCGGTTAGGTCAAACCGGTTTTGGTAGATAAAGCTGGCTTTCTTTTAGCTAATATTAGATCACTAGGGATAATCCTGGCAACTAATCTTTTACTTGAAAAAATCAATTAGGCTAAACGACTAGTCTTACACTAAGAAACATTCAGATATAACGTTCAATTTGAAAATAATTTAATGCCAAAAACTGTTTAAACAAAGGCATTTGAATCCATTAATATATGACTTCTTCAATAATGAGCTATGCGACTGGCCCATTATGAGTGTTGTACATAATACTCCAAACAGACAGGGAAGAAGAAAAACACATAAAATAAGCTGATGTTAAATATGATATGAAAAGATATTACTACAAAAGATGCTCGTGTATTACTGAAATATCTTTTGAAAAAAACAAAAAGTCAGGAGGCAACAGCCTCAGCTGGCTCCTTTCAATGTGGAGGACTACTCTGTTCTACTCTGAGCATCTCCCGATTGACTGAACTCCTCACCCTATCGCTGTGGGAGAGCCCATCCACCCTTCGGAAAAAGCTCATTTTCACCGCTTGTATCTGTGATCTCTAATACTGTTGACAAAAAGATCCATTCATGGTGTTTCTTAAATTAAGTGCTCTATCTGGTGGCAGCTGGCTGCATAACATTTAGGACTGGGCATCAATTCAAATGTTAACAATTAGATTTAACGACTAGTACGTCTGGTCCCGACTACTGACAACAGCAACCATTAGTCGCTTAGTCAACTAGTTCTGCACATCCCTGTAGCTAACATTAGCTTGACTGCTAACACAGACTTGATACCCAACTTAGCAACTGATACTGTCAGTAGCACATTGAAGCCAATTGTTGGCGCTGCGAGTCAGCCATTTGTCACTCAGGTTAGTGGACTCTTTCTACGCTACTATTAGCTAGTAACGCTCACTGTTGATGCTGGCATCAACAAAGAGGCAGTGCAGCAGGGCACTTAGTAATGAGCATAAGTTTTGCATCCTTTGGAAGTTCGACCTGAATCCTTTGTAGAAAAGTCACTCCACTGGCTGTTAAGAGTCAAGAACAGTATAATTTTACATAACTAAGTTATTACCCATGTGTGAATGGTTAAATTTTCACACATTGTAAAATTTTCAGTGTACCCTGGTACATTTACCTAACATACATACAGAAATAGAAATAGTGGTTACAATTACTCCTAAAAGTGGTGGGAATGCAGACAGATTACTGTTAAAAAGAAGAGCATTTTGGATTCATACACTAGAAATTGAAGAATTGAAGAATGAATGTTGAGCTGCTTCCTGTAGCCTATTATAATAACCGCCTACTGGGATTTCCATTTTATGGATGCCCCTTTCACGGATTAAATTTGATGCCATTCAATTTAAACATTGTGCATTTTGCTCACTCGTATAGACTCGGTTGACTGCACAGGGTCAGAATGTTATTCTGTATATGAGTTTGCATTTATTGTACATTTGTACATCTATTTATACAAACTGCTCAAATATATTTTAATGAACAGCTTCGTACTAATGTTTTTTTAGGCACGTTTGCCATTGTTCCCCTTATTGTAAGTATTGTAAGAGTTTTAACTGCAGATGATGAAACCTGACTTTTTTTTTTCTTGGATCACATTCCAGTGTGGTTAACCTCGAGATGTTTGTTGTCAAACAATTGTGTGTAGCTTTTGTTGATCCTCACGTGCACTAAAAATGCATAAATTTTGTCCAGCTAAAAATACTAAGCAGAACAATAAATCCATTCAGTTTGTTCTTATATTGTCATAAACTAGCCTCTGATACAGGCTTTGAGACTTGGAATCGGTCTCTGTGCTACTTGTATCTTTTATCCAATGTGTCTTTAAGTGTCTTGCTCAGCAAAAAAAATCTATCAGATCCATTTTTTGTATGTATTTTTGTAGCTAATCCAAATATGTATCAAGATCCCACAAATACTCGAAATATAAAGAGACATGTAACAGCAGACTGAATATGGAGCCTGGCTTTAAACACTGACAGCAAAACTGTCAAGAAAGAAAATAAATCCTGATCCACTGTTGTGCAGGAGATAAATTCAAGAGCAGCTTCCTCCAACGCCTTTCTGCACTCAAAGAATCAGAGTGTTTATATGCAACAATATGCATTATCGTACCTAAAAAAGGCTGCTGTATTTACCAGCATTACGACATTCAATAGAACAGAGACATAAAGAAGAAAGTGAATCATAGTTTGCTGACTGCAAATGTACACAAAAGGGATTTGGTTTGCCTTTTCACATTTCCTTCCCCTAGATCCTAGCTACTTTTTCCAAACTAGGCCCCGCTCCTGTGCATGCCACACATTGGGTCTGTATAAGCAGGCAGATGGCCTGGTTAGATTTTTCACTTGACGCCTGTGCTTGTGTCTCTGCCGCTGGTTGGGTGAATGGAGGCCATCTGGGATTGGCCAGGGCTTCTGTGAATGGAGCTGGGGAGCGCCATTCAGCACTGTGGACAGCTCCATGGTGCTGAACCGACTGACTGTCAGAGGCAGCTCTTAACCGGGCACCCATTACAGCCCACATTAACCTCGCCGTGCTCTGTCAGGAGATGTTAAACGATCAAACAGTAGAGCCAACGCGAGGCCGTTTGCTTGTGTGTGTGTGTGTGTGTGCGGATATGGAGATAAGCAAACAGCAGCGGGAAGGAGACTTCCGGCACATTAGGCAGGGAAACCACCTCTTGACTGTAATGAAACACTCTTGATATGGAGTGGGGCAGTGGTGGTGAACACCTGGCAGACTGCAGCAACACACAAACACACACACGGGGATCCTAGAGTTGTTTGCATAAGGTGCCTGCCTCATTCCTGATCATTAAACTGTTAGAAGGCCATAAAATTGGAGTGTCAACCATGCGGCACAGTGGCCAAAAAAGGGCCGAGGAAGGGTCTGATCTGGCCCTGCTTGATGGCTGGTACATAATTACTCCAATTTTTTGGTCAAATGAGCTGCTAAACATGCTGGCAGCATCTGGAAATTTAAAGCACTTCTAGACTTCAAGTAGTAAAATACTGCTGTGTAGTTCCAAAGACTTACGCGATTTTGATTTCAACTGATTAACAGAACAGACAAAGACAACCTGGGCTGTTAGAAAACGCAGGACTAATTAAATGTGCATTTCCTGGGGGGGGAGCCAATAAGGGAGACCAGAAGACAATGATCAGCAGCGGACTGAGCCACCTGCTCAACCAGGTGAGCTACAAGGGCACCTGTACATTTAAAGAGCAGACACATTGTTTTTGGAGGGGTGGGTAAATTGGACCACTGCATTAAATTATCCAGTGGTCTTACTTAACCATATGCGTTCTCCGGTATTATGAAGTGCACAAGCTTGTAAAAGGGAGGACTGTGGGGATGGGGCGCGCACACACGGCCTCCATCTGCACATTAGCATGGGGCCTAAACACGATGAGGAGATGAATGAACATGAGGCCCGGAGCCGGGAGTCTCCTTGAATCTGTCACCCGTCTCCATGGCGACAAGAGGAGGAGGAGGAGGAGGAGGACCACAAACTGGCATCTATCCGGGCCCAAATCAACAGATGGCCACCACCACATCACCCCCCTCTCCCCAACACCCTCCCACCCCATCCCTTTTGTTTGTTTGTTTCCTCTCTTTTCTTGCAGGTTTTATTTGTTTGTTTGCAGCCTACCTTGCACTGCTCCATGCACGTCCTCACCGAATATGCCCCCGGCTCGTATTTTTGAGTGAGGAGCTCAAAGTCCTCGTATTTCTCCTGGGCGTGCTGGTCGTAGCGCTGGTACGCCTGGACGCACAGACTGCAGCGGTTCGCGTCGCCGTCGCCGAGCGCGTCGAGGCTGCAGTTCAAATTGTCCGGACTCGTCGAGCCGTACAACAAATCCAGCAGGGAGTAGGAGTTACAAAAGGAAAGGTACAAATTGCTCATATTTACAGCCCGCGTCCCCTCTCTGTCGGAAAGGCCCCTGCACAACTCGTCGGCATCCAAGAAAGTAAAGCAGTCGTTAGATAAACTATCCCGGTGGCAAGTTTCGAGCCGCCACAAATGTTTGGTAGAGTTTCCTATAAAAATATCATCTGGGTTTCCTCTGAGGCTGCTGTGTGCTGAGTATGTCTGAGGTGACAAAGGGTGGGTGGATGCGAACTTGTCCCGGGTCCGGGCCAGCGTGGCCTCGGCGCAGAACCACAGGTGATCAGAGAGGAGGATGGTTAAGAACAAGAGGGATGCCAAGGACAGTCGCCATCTCTGCGCCCTCTCTGAGTCGGTGAATGGCTTTTGGTTGTCGCGGGGGGGCTCTAGCCAGATTTGGAAGCCGTCGTCATCTTCTTGCTGCCAACACGTCCCAGCACCCCTGGTCATATTTTGGGAACCGGCCGACTCCACCGTGGGGGCTCCTCTGCCGCAACAGTCATTGACGTCGGGTCCGCTTCGCGTTTTCCTCCCCTCAAGTGTCGGGCGGTGGGTTGTCCCGGCTTGCCTTTGCTATCAGCGGTAATTCCCATTAAAAGGAGCGTGGGTCGGTTGGGAAATCAAACGCTGGCGACCACGGGCCGCATCCTCCATGGCTGACCGGTGAAGCCGCTGTCCTCCCGCCCGCCCGCCCCGAGCTCTCCTCCGCGCCGCGCCGCTCCGCTCCTCTGCGTAGCCTCGACTCCGTTTTTAGAAACACTTCCCGACGCGTTTACGTTTCCCCCGGCCTCGGTCGTGCAGGGACAAAGGCGCTATCCTCTTCCAACATGGCGAAGCTGTATGCCTTTGTGTCGGCGGATGGGCCTACAGCCTGTGACAGACCTCTTTTTTTTTCTTTTTCAAGCCCTCACCATCCTCAGCTCGCTGCCGTTGTCAAGTTGCCGCCATGTTCGCTAAGAGATGCTGTGTGTTTGCTGGAAGCTGGATAAAGGCGGCGACGATAACGGGTTGCATTTCCGGTCACGCCGCTCAAAATAAAGGCTCGTTTTAGTCGTTCCTAGTGATTCGTTTTAACAGCTTTCCCGCTTTTTAGACATTCATGACACGCGATGCTTCCAAAATGAGGGTTTTTTGTTTTATTTTTAAGGCTACTGATTTTTTAAAAAAAAATGTTTATAAATCAACACAACTTAAAAAAAACCCCAAACAATAAATAAATTAATGAATGAAAACAAGAAATAAAGAAGTAAAATTAATTAAAAAAATAAAGTCTTCTGCCTTGGATCCACTTTAAATTTATTCTGGAAGCCTTCAACCACACATTCGATCGTGGGCGATCGTGGCTCAAGAGTTGGCAGTTCGTCTTGTAATCGCAAGGTTGCCGGTTCGAGCCCCGGCTCGGACAGTTTCGGTCGTTGTGTCCTTGGGCAAGACACTTCACCTGCCGCCTACTGGTGAGGGGCCGATATGGCGCGATATGGCAGCCTCGCTTCTGTCAGTCTGGCTGCCCCAGGGCAGCTGTGGCTACAACTGTAGCTTGCCTACACCAGTGTGTGAGAGTGAATGAATCGTGGAATTGTAAAATATTCCATTATTATTATTATTCAGAAAATCTTAAACTACCAATACCCAACCTCTTTATTTAAATGAAATGAAGCAGGAAAAGAATGTTTCAAGCAAAATAATGAAAGTCAAAAAAATAACACAATAATTTGAAAAGTTATTTAACAAACCAAGGCACAATCATATTATTATTATTATCATTATTAGTAGTAGTACATTACAAATACAGAATATCACATTTAAACGTTGAAACCTAGCATGTGTTTTATTTTGTCGGTAATTTCGATTAACATCCGGTATGGTGCTACTTAATTAACGCGATTTGACCAAACATCTTCAGCTCTGACGTTATGCGCGCGCACCACAGTCGCCGCATCTCTCTGTGCAAGGGCGCATCAAGTCAAACAGACCGTGCCAAAATTTCACCAGAAATATTCGAAGTGTGACTTCAGAATTAAAGCTCTGAAATGAAACTCTTTAAAGAAAAGAATATTGCTGGGCATAAAATTCATAGGAATGTAACTAAATAAATATAAGTATAGGGACTTAGCATTTTATGTGTGAGTGTTCTGTATCAATTATAAGTCGTTCAGAAGCTTTTCTGAAAACGATTTTATTTCTTATTGGACTGGACGTTTCAGACAGGTTGGTCACGTGGTTTTTATCCTCTGACAAGAACCCGCTGACATGTGTCTTAAGGCTAAACCGCCAACAAAAAACTCTAAAGCCTACTAAAACACACAGTAAACAAATAATGAAAAAAGCTAACTGAACTTGGTTGTAGCTTTTAATTCAGAATACATTAATAACTGATCTTTTTTGTCTAAACCTCTAACTTATCGATGACTTATTGGTGCCTTTGTTCTCAGTATGTTTATGCTCTACTTCACTAGAGTAGCTTTGCATTATTAAGCATCAAAGCAAGTGGTTCATCTATTGTCTTGTAGCTACTCTCCTGTAAGCCAACTTTCTTCTTTTTTTTAAATTATTTTATTTTTTGCTTTTAAATTAAACACATCATGCTTATACAGATTCAACTGAGGACAATTACTACATTTAGCAGTTGTGAACTTATAAGCATGGAAAAAAAGAAGAAGAAAGAGGAAGAAAAGAATTATAGCAATATTAACTAAATAAAGAGTAAAATAAAATAAAATAAGAAAATTCATGCGGGGTGTGAGGCATGAATTATGATCAGTTAATTTTTAAGAATTCTAGAAATGGCTGCCAAATTGTACAAAAACTCGCCAGGTTCCCCTTTCTATCAAATCTTATCTGTTCCCCCCTGGCCACAGACACCATCTCATTAAGCCACCTTTTAAAACACGGGGCCGAAGAAGACCGCCACTGTAAAAGAATAAGTTTCTTTGCCACCAGCATACCCGTTTTAACTATCTGTTTTTGTGAAAAGGAAAAAGATTCGATTGATGCAAATGATCCATAGCCAGTGTACCATCAAGTGGTACCTTTTTCCTAAATTGGTTTGAAAACCACGTAAAAATTTGGCTCCAAAAAGTTTTCAAGACAGGGCAATGCCAAAATACAGGGAGTGCAGAATTATTAGGCAAGTTGTATTTTTGAGGAATAATTTTATTATTGAACAACAACCATGTTCTCAATGAACCCAAAAAACTCATTAATATCAAAGCTGAATGTTTGTGGAAGTATTTTTTAGTTTGTTTTTAGTTTTAGCTATTTTAGGGGGATATCTGTGTGTGCAGGTGACTATTACTGTGCATAATTATTAGGCAACTTAACAAAAAACAAATATATACCCATTTCAATTATTTATTTTTACCAGTGAAACCAATATAACATCTCCACATTCACAAATATACATTTCTGACATTCAAAAACAAAACAAAAACAAATCAGCGACCAATATAGCCACCTTTCTTTGCAAGGACACCCAAAAGCCTGCCATCCATGGATTCTGTCAGTGTTTTGATCTGTTCACCATCAACATTGCGTGCAGCAGCAACCACAGCCTCCCAGACACTGTTCAGAGAGGTGTACTGTTTTCCCTCCTTGTAAATCTCACATTTGATGATGGACCACAGGTTCTCAATGGGGTTCAGATCAGGTGAACAAGGTGGCCATGTCATTAGTTTTTCTTCTTTTATACCCTTTCTTGCCAGCCACGCTGTGGAGTACTTGGACGCGTGTGATGGAGCATTGTCCTGCATGAAAATCATGTTTTTCTTGAAGGATGCAGACTTCTTCCTGTACCACTGCTTGAAGAAGGTGTCTTCCAGAAACTGGCAGTAGGACTGGGAGTTGAGCTTGACTCCATCCTCAACCCGAAAAGGCCCCACAAGCTCATCTTTGATGATACCAGCCCAAACCAGTACTCCACCTCCACCTTGCTGGCGTCTGAGTCGGACTGGAGCTCTCTGCCCTTTACCAATCCAGCCACGGGCCCATCCATCTGGCCCATCAAGACTCACTCTCATTTCATCAGTCCATAAAACCTTAGAAAAATCAGTCTTGAGATATTTCTTGGCCCAGTCTTGACGTTTCAGCTTGTGTGTCTTGTTCAGTGGTGGTCGTGTTTCAGCCTTTCTTACCTTGGCCATGTCTCTGAGTATTGCACACCTTGTGCTTTTGGGCACTCCAGTGATGTTGCAGCTCTGAAATATGGCCAAACTGGTGGCAAGTGGCATCTTGGCAGCTGCACGCTTGACTTTTCTCAGTTCATGGGCAGTTATTTTGCGCCTTGGTTTTTCCACACGCTTCTTGCGACCCTGTTGACTATTTTGAATGAAACGCTTGATTGTTCAATGATCACGCTTCAGAAGCTTTGCAATTTTGAGACTGCTGCATCCCTCTGCAAGATATCTCACTATTTTTGACTTTTCTGAGCCTGGCAAGTCCTTCTTTTGACCCATTTTGCCAAAGGAAAGGAAGTTGCCTAATAATTATGCACACCTGATATAGGGTGTTGATGTCATTAGACCACACCCCTTCTCATTACAGAGATGCACATCCCCTAATATGCTTAATTGACCCAGTATGAACCTTCCAGATCCCTCAGGTCATCTGGATCCGGTCTTTTATCAGTTCCCAGAGTCAGAACCAGACACGGAGAAGCTGCATTCAGCTTTTATGCTCCTTATATCTGGAACAAACTCCCAGAAAGCCTCAGATCAGCTGAAACACTCAGTTTATTTAAATCCAGGTTGAAGACTCACCTATTCTCAGCTGCATTTGAATAAAGCACCAAATCCACACTTTTAAGCTTAAATTTCAAAACTTACATTAACTACTGATTTTATCTGTTTTGATTTTATATACTGTTTTGTTTGTTTGTTTGTTTGTTTGTTTGTTTGTTTGTTTGTTTGTTTGTTTGTTTGTTTGTTTGTTTGTTTGTTTGTTTGGTTGGTTGGTTGGTTGGTTGGTTGTTTAGTTAGTTAGTTTGTTTGCTTGTTTTAATCAATTTTAAATCATGCTTTTTTTTGTTTTTGTTTCTAATGTCTCTGTAAAGCACTTTGAATCACCTTGTTGTTGAATTGTGCTATACAAATAAATTTGCCTTGCCTTGCCTTAATTGGTAGTAGGCTTTCGAGCCTATACAGCTTGGAGTAAGACAACACGCATGAAGAGGATGATGTGGACAAAATATTCATTTGCCTAATAATTCTGCACTCCCTGTAGATGTGCAAGGGAACCTTCACCGATATTACATCTATCACATAAGGAGGATACAGAATTATAGATCCGGTTAAGTTTAAGTTTAGAAAAATGTAATCTGTGAATGACTTTAAACTGGATTAATTTATATCTGGCATTTATTGAGCCTTTCTGAATATTGGACAAACAGTTTGACCATTGGTCCTCAGACAGAGGAACACCGAGGTCTTCAGCCCATGTACTCTTAATTCGATCAGAATCAACTGGGATTATAAAGCACTTGACAAACTGAGATATCAGATGTTTAAAGTCTGCTTTCCGAATTATATCAAAGTAAGTATGACTTAGTGGCTTCAGTGGAAAGTCTAAAAAGTTTCGTTGAACAAAATTCCTTATTTGAAGATAACGGAAAAAATGTGATTGAGGTAACTGAAACTTTTGTTGAAGTTGAAGGAAAGACACAAATTTGTCATCTATATATAAGTCCTCAATGCATTTCAATCCCTTGCCAACTTTCTTCTGATTGGCCAATTCTTGCAAAAAGCAGGTCAGAACCATAGCTGGACTGGCCATCGGCCCCCCTGGCAAATGCTGATTTTTCGTTTTTATGGGCCAATGATTTTTGATTTTTTTTGTAGTAACGGTATAAACAATGAAAGGTGCTGAAAGGTGCCAGATGCTGGCAGATGTGTAAAAATAACTCAATTGTTTGGTGGTGGCTATGGCAGAGCTTCAACAGAGTCCAGCAGGTGGATGAGGGAAAGGGGAGGCA